GAGGGCCGGCGGCGCACTGACCCGGCCCGGCCGGCCTCGTGGCCTCCTTAGCGTTAAGGAGAGCGCAGATACCTCCGCGGAGTCCCCGAAAGAGCGCTGCGCCGAGCTGCGCGATGGCAAGGCGGAGATGAGACCGGCGTGGACAGAGGAGTGTCGCTGCCGCGGGACGCCTGCGCTCTCTGAGGGTGCTTTCGCTGTCCTCGTAATTCAGAAAACACACCGCTAGTCACAGCATCGGTTACTCGGGCTTAACTCCGGGGGTTCATTTTACCTTACACTGTCCCAAACACTTAAGCAGATAGTGTAGGTGTCCTTTATTATTTAAGCTCTCTCTCAAAGAGAAGCAGCTAGAAGCACAATTCCACTTTCTGCACGCTAACTGTCTCTAACTGCTAGAGCGCAACAGGTCGTCTGCTCCATCCATCAACGAAAACGTCACTGCAGAGAACAGAGAAGCCTGACTGCTGCTTTTGAAAAAGTATCATTGTATCCTACTGCTTCCTAAGATCTTCACACCTTAGAACTACTAGTAGCTTCTTAAACAGGTTGTTTTTATAAATTCACAGAAGGGTGAGGGTGCCCTCTGCAGCACCAGCTCCCTGAGCAGTCAGGTGGGGGCTTTACAGACCGATTGACTCTTTCTAAACCTGGTCTGGGGTTCGTACCTGTAAAAGTCCATCACAGCACAGGTGCTTGCAAAAGCACTTGATGGGAGTATTTCCATGGCTCCTTGCCTAATTACAACCCACGGAGTGAGCACAAATACTGGTTGAGCCCTGCAGCTGTGTGTGACTAGGGAGCTGGGGGCAGAAGCAGATGCTGTCCTTGAAGCAGTAAGTGGTAGGTTACTTTTTCTCCTCTATGCTATTGGCTCTGTTACTTTAGGTGCTGTAGTTCTCTTTTTGAAAACTGCTAGCAGTGTTTTTCTGCTTTAGGAAAGATCCTGAGGTTTTGGTGAGTATGTCTACGTGTGTTTTTTGCTTCTGCAGGGTTAATTTGTCTCTGCTGACTTTAGTTCCCTTCTACCTGTGCCCTTATGCCCAAGTTCTTGCGTTCAAGTCCTACCTTTTTGGTAAGGCTTCTTGCTAGTTAAAGCATATGTACCTGGTGTAAGTGTAGTGATCTTGCCTAGAGTCAACTAGACTGTTTAAGGTTTGTTAAATATGTGATGCAAGTGCTTGAAGGAATGAACTTCCTCATCTGTTTTCCTTAGTTACCAGAGTGTGTTTGGACAGGTTTTGAAGCCCTGGCTACTAATGAAATGCTCTTGTAAGAAGTGATGCAGTACCTTAATTCATCTGTCTCTCTCTTTCTTTTTTTTTTTCTTTTTCTATTTTTTTTAAATCTGTTGTTAAGATATCATAGTGAAAAGAGGCTGTAGAAAGCAAGTTGCCTGCTGAAGACTGGACTGCGTATTCTAGTTTTTTTCCTGATCTAAGTGAAGACATTGCCTTGGCTGTTTTTATTCCAGAAGTGAGTACCTATGTACCAAGCAAATGTCTGTTTCTGTTTTTTGTACTTATGACTAAAGATTTGCCAGCTATAGAGGTAAAACACTAACGTAAACTATTGCAGTAGTAGTATACAGCTGGGATGTTCTGAACTTCGTGTAGCTTCTTGAAAACATGGATGCTTAAATCCCTCTGGAAGCAAAGTCTATTGCACCCTGCACACCTGCTGTTATTCAGTAGATAAATGTCCACATGCACTAACACAGAGTGTAGGTTAGTGCTAATGCTCTAGCCTGTAATTTTCCCAGGATTTCCTGTTTGTGAAGGATGTTAAGATACAATGCTATTGTTGTATGGTGATAGGCCTTAAATACTTTAATTTGTCAAACGTGACATAGAAAGACTTCTCTGAATGGATGTGTTTTTGAAAACACAAAGTAACTTTTTGAATCACATAAAAATCAGTGGTGTTAATTTTGAGTAATACTTTGTATTCTCTAAAGACTATAACAAAGTAATTTGTTGTTGTTTGTTTCTTTTTTTTTTAAATATACTGCAGAGTCTTAGATCAGCAGAAGCTGTAACCCTTTCCTTTCGGGGATTCAGTAAGAGCAGTAGTCCATGGTTAATTTGAGCTCAGAAGATTAAATTTAAGCTAAAAGCGTAGTATGTGTTTAAAAATGTGTTGCTGTTGTAATAAAAACCTGGTCTTTATATGCTAAAAGGATGCTATGTAATGCAAATCCAAAGTCTGGGTAACCTATTTCCTGTTCTGTGCTTTGACTGTTGATCCCATGGGAAGATCTAGTACAAACACATGATAAGCTACTCCCTTCTCAAAAAGGCATCCTCAAGGTAGGGCGAGCAGGAACGGGTTGTCAAGTGCATTTTAACTACTTGTGCTTTAAATCCAAACGGCGGTGGTCTGACATTGGATGCTAGTGTGTATCAACTGTTGGGGGGAAAACCCAGTATGAGTTAAGGCCTTAACCAGTTAAGGCCTTTGCTTGGGACAATCTCCTAGTGTCTTGCGTACCTCAAGGGCAAAGGCTTGTAATCAAGCAGCTGACAGAGCAGGATGCTGTGGAAGCACAAAAACAGTGTCCAAAACATGCTGCTCTGTCATGCAAACTATCTGCATGTAAGATAAGAAAGTGCCTGCAGTTAATTGGAACGAGGCAGAAGAATCAAGGCTAAAGTAGAATGATTTGTCTTAGTGTGTATAAAGTAAACAATATATAGCCAATAGGAACCAGGTAACTCTAAGGGAGTCTGAAGGATTGTTTTGAAGGGCAGAACCTTGCAAGGCCACCCATACCATATCAGTAATACTGTATAAGGCTGAGATCGCCTAGGTAATGATATCAAAAACACTGAACTTGGGTATGGATGTAGCAAAACTGAGACCAATGGGGGGGGGGAAGTAGTTGGGGATAGGCATTTCATCTGGGAGGAGACTGTGTAGAGGAAGGGAGGTGCAAGCCCAGCGAAAAAGTGGGTTGGGAAATGGAGAATAAGGTATAAAATCAGGTGAGGAGCAAAGGAAGGTGGGATTGGCTGATAGTAGCATTGTGGACACCTACGGATGACAGTAAAGTTGACCTGTGGACCCAAACCTACTGGGATGCGGGAGCAATGCTCTGTGGACAACCTTGATTCTTCAGGTCTAGGTCTGCAAGACTTAGTGTGGGATGGTAAAGCAAAGAGAGGGGGACTTGCACCCTAATGTTGAGTCGTGTGGGAAGGAGGGGTGATGCATCTGTAATTCAATAATGGCAGTATGTGATTTGTAAGATTTAGTTGGTTTTATACTTAGGTGCAAAATGATTGCAGTTGTAAATTAATAGTGATGTTAATTAGGTTATTGATCACTTGATTGACTTAGTTTTCTTAGTAGTGTTTTCAATTAATAAAAGTCAGTCTCTTGATTCTGTTATGTCTCACGAATGGAGCCTGAAGGGGAAGAGCTGCACCCTGAAGTGGCAACTGGGGACTCATCCAGACTCTCCTGGTCTGGAAGCTTGAGATAGTGATACTGAGATGTTTTGGCTGAAGGGGAGTGTGTGTGTGGATGAAAGAGAATGGTATCAGATGACTCCTTGAGTCAGGAGGAGAGGGGCCTGTAAGTGCAGGCTGTGTTGAAATATTTAGGGGATCTTTGGGACTGTGAGCAAGAAACGCTCAGCACTTGCAGGGGCTTTTGTTTCATCTCCTCAAAGACTTAGGAAGTAAAAAGCAGCGCATAAAAAGCTTGCGGAATAACTTGCAAGCATCCCATAATGAGACACTAGCACTGTACTGTGGTAAGTCTCCTAAATGAACAGGCTGGGCAATTATGGGAGTTGGAGGAAGAACTGAGTGCAGGGGAAAAATGATAATGTTGATTAAAGGAAGTACAGTGTTTCTGGGAAAGTGTTCGGATTAAAAAGCTGGCACCCCTTGGTAGGGCAGATTGGGATCCTGAGGTATGGGGCAGAGATACTTGGACCTCACAGGAGGAAGATTACCCTTAAGCAAAGGGTGGCTGTGCTGGTTACTAGGAAGATGTGACTAGTTGTTGGGGGGGAAGCTTTAATAGCCCAGAAATTATGGGAGAGGAGAGCGTCAAGAAAGAGGAAGCTGTGAAGAAATGTAGACTTTGGAGCAGGCAGGGGCAGTTACCAAGGCTTTGCCCGCTGATGCGGGGACCCTGTGGTAGCACCCATGTTTTATTCTCAGCAGCACAGCTGTTCCAGACCTGCTGTGTTATCTTTCTGGGAATGCTGCTTTGAATAGCTGAATAAATCTACTCCCCCTTTAAAGGACATGTGTGAGATGTGACTAACATGTCTTAACTGCTATTTCTGTGGTTAGCAGTGTCTCAGTTGAAGCTCTTTCCTTGATGGTGTACCACTAGCAGCACCGAAGCTCAGAGGGAGCTGTGTGAGGGCTGGGATCTCCTGGCTTCAGAGGTGAAGTCCCCTCCCTGTCGTCTTGGTAGGGGATTGTTTATGGGGCACAGTCTGGGAGGAGAGCTGGGAGTGGTTTTAGCCTGCCTCTTGGAGGGCAGCATTGATTGCTTGAAAATAGTAGGCTTTGAGTGTCTTCTGTGCAGGGTGGCTGCTCGCTCCCACCTGTAGAGGGAGGTGGTGTGTCTGAGATCCTCTACTCTGTCATCCTAAAATAAGTGCTGATACCAGCTGTGTTGATACAGCTTCTAGAGCCAAACGAAAAAGTAATAATTTGGACAGTGTGAAACAGTTCCCGCTGGGAAGATCCTGCCTGTGGCACTGGGGAGGAGAGTGGAAGTGGTGGGGGGGGGCAGAGCTGGATTGCAGGCACTTCTGGGAGAGCTCCTTGCTGTGTGTGAGTGAAATGGGGGAGGGAAGGGGACAAAGATGCTTTACAAACCTTTCTCCAGTGGCTATTGTACCAGATTAGAAATGGCCTCCATTCAATGGGCCAGTGGAGCAACCAGATTTCTTCCTCGCTTAAAAAGCCCTGTGGACTAGCTTTCTGTGTGCATCCATGCACACATACCTGTGCCCTGCTCTTCTGAGGTGCTGCAGGCTCCTCAGCTGTGCACACAAAGCTAAATTTTTGCTGATGGCTTCAGAGGTGAGCTGGTGGAGGAACAGGCCAGTCCAGGAACCTGGGCTTGCTGCTCCTCCTGCCAATGAGGTGAAGGTGCCACCCCTCAGCTGCTGCTGTAGTCCAGCTCTGGGCCCTGGGGTGGGCTGGAGGCCCATGGCCACCTTGCTGTCTCCATCTATCTGCTGTGCTGCTGCTTTCTTTGGCTCTCCTGAGGTATTCTTAACAGCGCCTCTTAGCCTAAATCTATCAAACTGATTCTGGACTGCCTCTCTCCTATTTCTAATAATGTGTAGCACTCTTAATTCCTCTCAAGCCCTTTCCTCCTTTTAGCTTCACCAACACTCCTCTGGGAATTGCGAAGCTTTCATTCAAGGTACCTGCGCTTCTATGCGAAGCCCTCTTCTGTAGGCTGTTTTCAGGCTGCTTTCAGTATCAAGTCTTTTAGTTCAGATGTTACTACTAGTCACCACGAAGGAGTGGATTGAATGTACTCGCCCCTCTTTGAGAAGTGAAGGCTATGTGTTCTCCTGCCTAACCAAAATTTCCATCTGAAAATATCTAATGTAAAATTGGTGCAAGGAAGCACTGGTGTATAATGACTGCCCTGCTCCTGGTATTCAGTGCCAGCTCTGCCTGAAGTAAGGTAATCATTGCTGTGCACAGCAATGACTTCATAGATTTCTGCATGTAATTCATATTCTGACTGCAATAATTCAGGCTACAAATCTCAAGCAAAGAGCTTCTCTTGAGCTGGCTTGCTTGATTTCAGCCCTGCTATGCCACAGAAGTTGTCTGAGCTAGCATGCTGCTGCATTAATTCTAGCTGTGGCCTGTACCTTTAGTGAGGTACAGAGAGCATGCAGGACTGAGGTGGGGGCTGTGATGGCCTTCACCCCTTTCCACTGCATAGCATTGGTCTTTCTAGAGGCTACAAGAACTCATCTCTTCCAAGAAGTTGACCGTCCCTCAAACAGTGCTGGGCTTTATTGGGCAAATAGGAGTCATGATTTTTACTTTTATTAATTAGTTGCCTCTGTGTGGCACCTTGTTGTACTAGGCATGATGTAGTAACCCTGTTGTGGAAGTATTTACTGCTCCTTGATTCCTTTGCTGGGATAGTGTGGGTTTACTTTTGATTTGGAGAGTGGAGTGGAAGATGCCCCATGTGCTTGTGTGTGTTTGAAAGTTGAGGTAAACATATGCTTTAGGAAGACTTGATCCTCAGCAGGCATGGGCTAGACCTTCCTCTTGGGATGTGCAAGGGAGATGTGGACTTGTTCTGTCTGCTGTGGAGTCTCAGCTGCCTGAGAGCCATTTCAAGCCAAAAGCAAAGTGGCTGCTTTAAGTGCATGAACTAATAAGACTCGATCTCTCAGCAGGCCTTGATGTGCAGTAACACGGCTCTGCTGGCTGGGAGTGCATAGGAATATGTAGACAGACCTTGCTTTTCTGATTGAAGTGAATGAATAGATCTGGTCTTAACCTATTGCTTCAAGACATTGAAGTGTGTGTAGCTTTTTTTTCTCAAAGGGAGGCCTTTGCCAGATGGTAACTGTTCTGCAGAGCCTGCTCAAAAAGGGAGATTAACTGGAAATAGCTCATGACTCTTTTTAATCATCTTGGTCAGGGAAAATGTTGATCTTACAGTATTCATCTATCCCTGAACCCTTGGGAGTTGCTACAGAGCAATGGCAACTGGCCTGTGGTTTTTGTGGGGCAGGGGGAAGAACAGGAAAGGAAGAAAGCCAGAAACAGAGTCTAAAAGCTTGGGTGCTGGAACAATGGAGAGGGAAAAAGTATCTAAGTGGAATCTACTCATAATTCTCTTCTGGGAGCTGATTGCAGGGCAATGGCATGAGCAAAGAATAGTCTTGGTCCATCTTTGGAGTAAAAGAGATGGCTGTGTCATTTCCTGTGGGCCAAATATCTCTGCAGTTGTGTTAGCTTATAGTATGCTCCCTAAGGAAGGTGCTGAGATTTAAATAGCCCACTCAAACTGCCAGCCTGACCTGAGGACATGGAATCTACCACAGTTTGGTTGCTGCTCCAGACAGACGAAAGACTTATCCTTGGTGGCACTCACTGGACTTTTAGTCTTGGAGAGGAAAATGTGGGTATCTGGACAGTCAGCAGGGAACTGCTCTCTGAAGATTTTACAGATTTTTCTTATAAAGCTCCACACCTTATATATTGATCTGTGTCCGCACTACAGTCAGACTTGTTTTAAATCCTCTCCTAGGGGCTAGGCAGAGTCTGACATGGATGTGAATATTTATCTGTGATCCTAGATGTTCTTCAGCTCATACTGGCCTTCCTGCTCCACAACTGCCAGAAAACTTCCCCAAATTTAAAGCTTGCTTTAGCTGACGGTGGAACTTCTCTGCCTTAAGAGATGCCTAGCAAAACTGTAACACTCCTGTTACAGTAGAAAGTACTTCCAGTGTTGATATAGACTGCCCAAGGCTGCTATGACTGACTAAATATTTAGTGGTGGATTCACCTGTAGTAAGTAACCACAGAATAGAGTGTTGAAACAATCTTCTGTGTAGCTGAACTATCAAGTGTGCTCTCTGGCTTTGTATGGCAAACATCTCTTGATTGCCCCATAACAACTCTGGGGCAGCTATGCAGATCAAGTATTTTGCAAACTGTGGTGTCAGTCTCCCTGAACTGCACGGGAAAGTGTGAGATCATCAGATGATCTAACAAAAGATCGCCCTCCTGACAAACTCAGTTTCTCTGAAGTACTGCTTGCTTTCCTTCCCCAGTGAGCATGGGGCTGGGTCAGGCAAGTTGGTACTAGCTCTCTCACATCCTGTCCACGTGCTGGATTTGTCGCACTGTAGCTTAGCTCTATAAAGTCCAGCAGGCCTTTGCTCTGGCTGTGGTCTCCCAAAGGCAGCCTCCGGAAGCTAGAGCAGCCTGAGGGTCAACATGAGTGATAGATACTGGTGTAACAATGGGGCAAATCATGCTGACAGCCTGCAATTGGCAGCCCCTTGGAGCAAATGCTCCCAGCTCTGGAGGGGCAGGGCAGGAGTCTTGTGCCTTCTGTGTACCAAAACCCTACTGCAACACAACTAATGGTTAGGAACAGTGACTGTTCTCCCCAGGTCAGGACTTGGGGCTTGGATCCTCGTGCTTGTGAAGATAAGCCTCTGTCAGGACAATCTGGAGAGCTGTGGTATTCAGGAGCAGGGGGAGAGAGTTGCACTGGACTAAACATGAACAGGGCATCACTAGGCAGCTGTGGAGTAGAGCCCATAAAAGTAAAGCTAGCAAGAGCCTCAGCCAGTGAACCAAGGCTTGTCCTGACAGGTGTGCAAACTTTCTGCTGGGGCTGTGAAGTATTGTCTATGTTGTATCAGCTGTCAGGCACCCTCCTCCAGTGTGATCCCCTTCCAGGGAAGTGTCTTGGCTTTTGTGGTTGGGCATGTGACAATGCTGCTCTAGAGCGCTCTCAGCTGTGCTTACTCCTCAGTGACTTCCCCTAATCTGTTCAGTTTGCTTCCTCTTGCTTGTCATCATGGCTGAGCCATCAGCATATCCCAATTATCTTTTTTAGTTCAAAATCAAAGCAACTAATAAAGGTGCTCGGGGCACTGAAATCCGAGTGATTTAGATGGCTTGTTACACAGGTCTGGTTCCTGGCAGGTGTGCTCCTTGTGTCTGAAGAGTCAGTGTACAAACTCCTCTTTCTCCTTGGACTGCAGGGAAGGCCTTGGACACTGATGCTGTCAGTCAAAATATAGGATGCCCCCCAGTAGACAGTATGTAGACCATCTGCGGCTTTTGAGCTGGGCTAAAGGGGGGAAATGTCCTGCTACTGAGCTTGGTGGACTTCAGTCAAAGCTGCTGGAGCTTTCTTTATGTTGTCTGAAGCTGTTAAAGCCCTTTACAAAGAAAAGATTAAACAGAGCAGTTCAAACCTCTTGTTTCTTGCCTCCTATCTGGGGAGATAACACTTACTATGTACTGTGGCTTCTATGCTGCACCTTTGTTCAAAGGTGCAGCCTGGTCTTTTCTAAAGTAGTAATCTAGTACTGCTCTCCTGTGCAGGGAAGCTCTGCACCTGTGATAGAAGCAGGCTTGAGCTAGTGCTGTTTATTAACTTCAAGTGATGGTAACATCTTGCACTGATTTAAAAAAAAAAAAAAAAAAAAGGGGGGGGGGGGGGGGAAAAACCCTTGTTGTGTAGTACCCAGCATTGCTGGTGGCAGGCTGTTTCTCAACTTCTTAGGGGACGGCCACATTTCCCATTAGGCTGGAGGAAAGCACTGAACTCTGACTCTCATCTTATGTTTTTGGTCAATACCCTTGTGACAGGCAACTCTAGGTGATGTTTAAATGGTGCCCACAGGATCTGAGCGCTGGAAAAACTTCACCCTATTTAACCGTTTCAAAAAAAAAAAAAAGCTCATGCTGTGTACAGCTTCCTTCCCTCTCCTTGGGGAGAGGATAATGAGTCATAAGAGGACATTGCTTAATGCTCTGAAGGGTGCTTGGACTGCCCAGCAGTGATGGGCTAGGAACAGAGTTCAGCTGTGGGTCAGTTTCCCAGAGTAATAGCACCCTGAAAAGTGAGGGCTAACTGGTGAGACCAAAATAAGATGCCTTTATGTGAAAGCTTGTGGAAGAAGTGCTGATAGTCCTTACCCTCTCCCCCC